GGTCACCTGGACTGGATCGTCAACTAGAGTGGCTTCCATCTGGGAAGGAAATTTAAATACCCATATGATTTGTGTTGGTTAGTTACCTACTCCCTTCCAAAAAAAGAAAAATCCCAAACAAACAAAAACTGTGAAATGACTTAAAAATATTCAAAGGTGAGTGAGTACCTTTGAAAGACACAATTAATATAAAACACAAGGCCAGTTCTATCCAACACTTAAGGAGGGGCTTAAAATTAGCAGGAGAAGCAGGTCCTTAATGGAAATATTTCTCAAGAATAAGTTGGCTGTGAGTGTTAATACCGCTCAGCTCCGAAGTGATTAGTCTTCTCTCTTAAAGATCTGTTGGGGAAATTACATCTCTTTTTCTAACTTTTTTTTCAAACTTCTTTATTATTTTCAAAAAACAATCCCTTTTATTAGTCATAGAAATGGTGGGTAAGATAGCGGGAGAGGAGGGGGACTCTCAAAACTCAATGTGTGTGTTTGGACCTGATAATAGAGCCTGCCGACGACATCCGGCACAAACCCAAAACTTTAATTACTAAGACATCTTCTCTCTTTTTATGTCACTTTGAGTGCATTCACTCTGCGCTTTATGGCTATTTGCCATGCAAATGATGGCGTCTCGAAACGATTTGTAGCGAATGCTTCTGTAACCTCTGAAAAGAGAGAAATATCGAGAAGCTTTATGAGGAAATTAGCAGCTGTGCTGTGCTGCGTATCCTGTGTGCCATGCAGCTCTGTAAGGGTAAGGGTGATCCTACACCATTCTCCTACACATCTATGAATCAGGAAAGAGTAAAGCTGGTTGTAGAGAGATGGCAGGAATAGTTCTGCTACCCAGATGTTTCAGTTATAAAGAAAGTCATAACTGCATCTTGGTTTAGATACACAATATGGTTACATTCCAGATCATTCAGATTGTGTTTAATTAAAAAAAAAGTTTTGTGCTTTTTCAAGACTTCTTAATATAATATTTCAGAATATTTTATCACTTATAATTACATTTATCAACTATTATGGTGATGTAATTTGTAGTACTGCTGCCTTGGTTCAACTTCGGCCTAGGGGTCTTTCTGCATGGAGTCTGCATGTCTCCCCATACATGTGTGGGTTCTCTCTGGGTACCCCAGCTTCCTTCCATACTTGGGTTCATAGGCATCTCTAAATTACCCTTAGGATTGAGTGTGTGTTTGCATGATCATTTGTAGAGATGCATCCAGTGTTTTCTGATCCGATACCGGCTGAGCATATCAGCCGATCCAATTTAACTGTTTCATGAATGAACACATTTTAACACATTGTTAAAAAAAAGGTAAAAAATTAACATACATGTAGTTTATATTATTCATCAATAAATAAGTAGCAAGAAAAAGAGGAATAAGAGTTCCATGTTAAGTGCATTGGATTTAATTTCCACTATCATTTTGATAGTGGATATTAAATCCAATGCACTTAACATGGAACTGTTATTCCTCTTTTTCCACTATCATGCCATTGATTTGATAGTGGATATTAAATGACCAATATCCGATCTAGATATTGGATCTGTAGTTATAAGTCTATGTGCATTTCTGGGGTAGAGTGGCAACCTGGCCAAGGTGTATCCCACCTTTCATAGGCATAGGCATCTGCCCTTGATGGATAAGTGACAGAAAATGGATGGATGGGTATAAAGGTAAGCATGATTTTCTACTGATGTCATTAAATAAGGAAGAAACATTTTCACTTATAAGGGTAAAAATGCTATCAAAAGCTTATGGTCTTGCGTGAAAAAAATGAGTGAAATTCTACTGAATATCATCAACTCCTAAACTGGTTTGATCACAGATAAAAGCTGTACTGCAGCACAAAATAAGGATAAAAGATCCAAGCAAAACACATCCCAGCCCAATCTTAAAAAAATAATAATTAAAAAATAGGAACAAATAAGAAATAAAGTGTCTGACACATAACCATCTAAATAGTAATTTTTAAAGCTACAGTGTGTAATTTTCAGCGACATCTAACGTCCAGACTGCAGACCGCAGCAACATGAACATCTCCCCCCCACCGCTTCTCCCCCCCAACAGTACGGCGAGCGTTACGGGACAAAATGTCTTCCACGACGTCTGCATCACCTACCTTCTCAAGTGAGGAGGTTTGTTTACATAGATAATTTTACAGATAGTATTTCATTAGTCTGTGTAGGGTATAGATTTCAGTACCATCTCAGTTCATCTCTCTCAACTTGCCGTAGTTACTTTCGAGCGTAATGGGCGATCTCGCAATCGCTAGTTTGTTGGCTCTGCGCTGCCATAGCGCAAAGATGTCTGCCTCCATGGCTGCGAGACCCGCTCCTATGTAATTATAAATAACGAATTCTAAGGCAACGCAAATATTAAGGTTAAGAGGCTGAGCTCGTAGATGATGATAAATAACAAAGTTATGTATAATATATTACATTTCTGAATGTATATCCCTGTAATTATTACACACTGTAGCTTTAAGGCTTTAGTACCCAACAGGCTATGGTAAGAGAGAGCAGACAACGTACAAAAAACACAACAACAAAGAGCGCTTAAACGATTACTCGAGAAAGTCACAGAAAAAACAACACATAATGCACTGCAGCTCAAGCACACTTGGATAATGCAAAACACCAGCAGCATATTGACCTTTGAATGAAAGCTTTTACCAGACACAAAATTAAGCTTGTTCAAAGGCCCTGTACCTAAATCCTAGAGAAGGAAACCTAAGAGATAACCTGTAATAATCTGAAAGAATTGTGCAAAGAGAAATTGATCAAATACATTATACAGGTGCTGGTCATAAAATTAGAATATCATGAAAAAGTAGATTGATTTCAGTAATTCCATTTAAAAAGTGAAACTTGTATATTATATTCATACATTACATACAAACTCATATATTTCAGATGTTTATTTTGTTTAATTTTGATGATTACAAATGACAACAAATGAAAATCTCAAATTCATCATATCAGAAAATTAGAATATTACTGAAGACCAATAAAAACAAAGTATTTATAGAAATGTTGGCCAACTGAAAAGTATGAACATGAAAAGTATGAGCATGTACAGCACTCAGTATTTAGTTGGGCCTCCTTTGGCCTGTATTACTGCAGCAATGCGGCGTGGCATGGAGTCGATCAGTCTGTGGCACTGCTCAGGTGTTATGATGGCCCAGGTTGCTCTAATAGTGGCTTTTAGCTCTTCTGAATTGTTGGGTCTGGTGTATTGCATCTTCTTCTTCACAATACCCCTTCTTCACAATACCCCATAGATTTTCTATGGGGTTAAGGTCAGGAGAGTTTGCTGGCCAATTAAGAACAGGGATACCATGGTCCTTCAACCAGGTACTGGTAGCTTTGGCACTGTGTGCAGGTGCCAAGTCCTGTTGGAAAATGAAATCTGCATCTCCAAAAAGTTGGTCAGCTGCAGGAAGCATGAAGTGCTCTAAAACTTCCTGGTATGTGGCTGCGTTGACCCTGGACCTCAGAAAACACAATGGACCAACACCAGCAGATGACATGGCACCCCAAACCATCACTGACTGTGGAAACTTTACACTGGACTTCAAGCAACGTGGATGAAGTGCCTCTCTTCTTTTCCTCCAGACTCTGGGACCTTGATTTCCAAAGGAAATGCAAAATTTACTTTCATCAGAGAACATGACTTTGGACCACTCACCAGCAGTCCAGTCCTGTTTCTCTTTAGCCCAGGCAAGACGCTTCTGACGCTGTCTGTAGTTCAAGAGTGGCTTGACACAAGGAATGCGACAGCAGAAACCCATGTCTTTCATACGTCTGTGTGTGGTGGTTCTTGAAGCACTCACTCCAGCTGCAGTCCACTCTTTGTGAATCTCCCCCACATTTTTGAATGGGTTTTGTTTCACAATCCTCTCCAGGGTGCGGTTATCTCTCTTGCTTGTACACTTTTTTCGACCACATCTTTTCCTTCCCTTCGCCTCTCTATTAATGTGCTTGGACACTGAGTTCTGTGAACAGCCAGCCTCTTTAGCGATGACCTTTTGTGTCTTGCCCTCCTTGTGCAAGGTGTCGATGGTCGTCTTTTGGACAACTGTCAAGTCAGCAGTCTTCCCCATGATTGTGTAGCCTATAGAACTAGACTGAAAGACCATTTAAAGGCTTTTGCAGGTGGTTTGAGTTAATTAGCTGATTAGAGTGTGGCACCAGGGGCCATCAATTTTGAACCTTTTCACAATATTCTAATTTTCTGATATGATGAATTTGAGATTTTCATTTGTTGTCATTTGTAATCATCAAAATTAAACAAAATAAACATCTGAAATATATGAGTTTGTATGTAATGTATGAATATAATATACAAGTTTCACTTTTTAAATGGAATTACTGAAATCAATCTACTTTTTCATGATATTCTAATTTTATGACCAGCACCTGTATGGTCAAACCTTGGGAAAGGTTATATTAGAAGATAGAGTTGTTCTAATGGCAAAAAGCAGCCTTTAACAGCTGAGGCTTTTCTTTTATTCCCTGTGTTTGAATTATGTATATATGAAATAAAAGAAAAATAGGGTGAACATGTAGAACATTAAGATGAAATTAGCTACTTAAAATAAAAGATTTTAAAAGGAGAATTTCATTATTAGTATTTGGTTCAAGTAGACCTCCTATTTTTTTTTTTCCACAATCTTCTTTTTATTGAACTTTTCTCTGTCTCGGGGAGGCAGTGTGTGCAGGTTGTGTGTGGAGAAGGAAGTTGGCAGCTGTATATGACACAATGCAAAGTAGCAGCTAGTATACTGGTATTTTTTTTCAACAAATTATGCAACGATTCTTTATGCAATGAAAAGTTGGATGTTACCTAACTTCCCAGGAGGAAGACCCATCTCAAGTCAGTATAACTTGGCTTTCTTCTTAGGCAAAATTTCAAAATCATCTCTTTTTTTTAAACCATCAATATTAAATATTGCATAAACTTTTAACAAGTAGCAAACTACTTTTTACTTACACTAAAAAGCGTAACATAGTTACTGATTAGGTCACGGATCACGTTTATTTCCTGGGAAGTCTGTCCTTGAGTCTGGAAGAGGCAGCAGGAGAAGACAGCGGCCAGTTTTTCACTTGGCATTTCGTTGAGGTGGGAGGACTGCTGAATCCTGAACCGGGAAAGAAAAAGTGCTTAACAAAAAAAACAACACCTGAATGTAAAGATACAGCCGTAGACAGCTTCGCACCAGCAGCCTACATCTTTACAGCATAGACAACACTGATTAAAATAAAAGGCTTTGGGCCAAACTCAGCACAGGTGAGTTAGACATTCATGAAGCAGTCTATATATTAACAGCTAAGAGACAACACGCCATGGGAGGTATCTTAGGGAGAGGTGTGTAAAGTGAGCATCAGTGAAAAAGACATTAAGATAGCAGAGTGTTGGCTTCTTAATCTAATTAGAGGTTGAAGAACAGGTTGGTGGTGCTTAGCTTCAGTGGGACAAGGTCCAGAGAGTGAAGCTGGCCTTCTCTTAAGCTTTCTATCCATTGTTCAGATGTTTAGCTAATTTGTGTTGTTTTTTCTATACTATACTCCTGTTTAACACCAGTAAGCTTAACAATAAAGCTAGATTTTCTGTATATTTAAAGCTATAATATAAAATTTCAGATATTCAAGTCTAGCAACTTAGGGGAATAACATTAAATAATAATAATTAAAAAAAAACCTGTGCTGAGCTAAAAACAGAGGCATTCTTTCCAAGGAGTTCTGCAATATGTTTGCTAATTGCAGGCGTTTTAAATAATGTGTCACACAATCTGTTTGAGACTGGAAACATGGGCAAATCGTACAAACAATAAGGAATTTATTCAGCATTTTCAACCCAAGGACAGAGTTTCTTCAACCGTAAACAGCCTTTTCTAATTAAGCTTGCATTTTGAAGAACCTGCCAGCTTACCCATTGTACAGTATTTATAACTATGACTTCGAAACCAAATAAGATTGGCAAAAGAAAAAACTTAACAAAAGATAGATTAAACTAAGCATAGAAAGTATTTTTTGCAGAAAGGAAGGGACAATACATTAAAAGGTAAAGAAAAATAGCAAATCAAAGGTGATTGGGGAGTGGTGGTTCTAGTTTAGTCTTTTAAACGTAAGAGGAAGTGACCAATTTGTTTAAAGACAAAACACGCTTAAAGTTATAAAGTATTAGTTATATTTTGCTTCTAAGGACCAACATCAAAAAAGACTAATAAGCCAGTTCCCAGACTGTCTGCTGAATTTAGATTGTTCATGCATAGATATGCTGAAAGGAAAAGGTCTAAAAGCAACAGGAATTGGTAGGAAATCTGCAAAATCTCAAAAGAAAATCTTTGAAAGACATTTATAAGGTTGGAAAACAATAAAAACATGGCCACGTAAAAAAACATAAACCTTAATTCATGCTCTTTGTTTGTTACTTTTACCGTACTTGTTCTACTTATACAAGACTATTGCCAGCCCTGTTAAGCTTTGTACTACCTCTTCAAATGAATTCATATTTACCTAAACATGTTAGAACCATAGAGCGTATATATTTAAGCACATTCATTCAGTCAAACAAATTCCAACACTTTGAGCTGCACCCCTTTGAGTTGCCATTCAAAAAAAGTTCAATAGTGTAAAAAAAAGAGACAAGGTTAACACAGGCTGGAGAATGCATTTCCATTGGGAAATCATCTTACACTTGTAAGATATGAATGCTGTTTTGATTCATTTCATTTTTAAACTATCATTTTGTTAAAAAAATATCCAATGCAATTTTGTTTCAAGACTTTTAGCATAAATACACAATAAAATATATTCAAATCAGGATATGCAAATAATACATGCATAATCATATATAATGTATTTTACATAACCTTTACGTGCCTGATTTGCATATTTAAAAGCTCTTTCTTTATCATTTTCTTTTCAAGGTGTTAGAAATTAAAATGCCTTTCTCCTGAATGGCAGTATACGCACCAAACTAAATGTATCGTGACCTGAGTTTGATCGCACATACCTGTACAGATGCTGCAGCAAGGCATTAAGGGTCGACCTGTAGACTTTTGGCAAACTCTCTATGAAAGTTGAATATTTCTTCACCCTCTGCTTTTCCTCCTTTTCGTCTGCAAAAACCGCACAGAAAACATGAGAAGAAAATTAATAAATGGCTTCATATACTGTATTTAAATATGGATAAATATAGATTCAGTTACCCTGAAGGCACCCTGACCCTCACATGGAACAACTTTTGGATTGCTAGATGATTACATGGCCCAGTAAGCAGCAGTTGCCAAACAGTCTCATGGTCTCAAACATACATCTAAACTAGTTTAAGAATGAAAGAAGCGCATGATAAACATAACCAAGATTACTGACTTTTTTCCAAACAAACTAGATACGGGTTATCAGAGATGGGCTCAGAAAGGATTAATAAGAATTAATCAGTTATTCAGTGGAGAAAATATTAAGAAATTTAAGCAATTACAGGATAAATTTGGATTATGCTCAAAAGATTTCTATAAGTATTTACAATTAAGGGATTATCTTCTATCACATAAAGAATGGCCTACATTGAAACAAAATACTTCACCTTTAGAAATATTTTTGATAAAATGTGTGGAGGAAAATAATAAGAGGAAGATCATATCTAATCTATATAAACATTTACAGGTGCATTTCTCTGACAGCTCTATAAATATAAAGCAAAAGTGGGAACTAGAAATTAATATTGTTATTGAAGATGAGGAGTGGGAGGAGATTTGTGAAAAAGGTTTTAAGATCACCCACAGTCCAAATTGGAAGGAATTTGACTGGGAAAAAAATACTCAAGTTCACGTTACCACTGAACCCACTGCATTATATACTGGGTTTGACCCCAGGAGACGATATTGGGAAAAGGGAAGTCCAGTTACTACAGATTCTGCTACTAGTAGCAAGAAAAATGATAAGTTTGTCTTGGCTCAAGCTTTTGCCTCCAACCCTTCAACAGTGGCAATAAAGATTGAAGAATGTGTATATAAAGGAAAAGATAACAGCAGAACTTCATGTAAAAATGGACATTTTTCTGAGTGTTTGGACCCCCGGTATTTCCCACTTTGGATGGCCACTCTGATATAAATGCTAAGTGTTATAAAAAGCTGCTAGTCCCCTTGACATGTCTCTCTCTTTTAATGAAAGACACTGGATATAAACATTTCTCTTTCATGTGAGCTGATGAGAACCTCTAAATGTCAATTGCCAAAATGGACTTAAATGTTTGCTGAGATCCCCCCCTTGTTTGTTTGTTTTTTTTTGTTTTTCTTTATGTAAGTGCATGCATAAATATACATATGTATGTGTGTTGGATTCCTAATAATCTTAAATAAAGAATGTACCAAAAAAAAATAATGAAAGAAGCACACTATTTTGAAGGAAATGTATGAACACTGTACCAAAAACCCAGGAATTCCACTATGTCAGCCAATAAGGGTGGTTGAGCAACCTGTAATTTTCTGACAGTTAAAAAAGCGCATCAGGTGTAACTTAAAACATTTTCCCCCGTTTTTAATATGGGTTTTATGTCTATATAAAGCCTGTATGCATATATATTATAGAAAAACTGTACCAAATACAAACTAATGCTAATTGTTCTTGACTGAGGTTGTTTGTCTTATGATTTCATGCTGACATAGAATTGAAATAAAGTCATAAATTAGTTAAAAGCACATTTCTGTATACTGAAAAAGAAAAAAGTCTTCTTTTTCAGCAAGCCTGGTGTTCTGCTTTTGAGTCTTTCCAAACACTACCTTTCACCTCACATACCCAAAGCTGACACCCAGTATGGATAGAGCTCCTTGGTCAGAAGTGCATCCTCTGTGTGGGATAAGAAGCTCTTCAGGGTATCCGTTACATCTTCTAGCTTATGTTCCTTCTTCCTCAGCTTCACATTGCGTGCATCACGAGTGAACTCCTCCAGAAGAAGGGACACACGGGCAGGGTCCCCAGGAGTCTGGTAGACCCCCTTCTGGCACAAACCTGGATGAAGAATGTGGTGATTTATTAAGAGAACAGCAGAATACTGATTTTACTTGAACCACCTTATGATGGATTTTAATACTTTCCCTGTATATAATGACATTTAAAGTAATATAAGTGTTGGTAGTGTAAGTGTATAAAAGTGTAAGGTATTTTTTCAGAATCAGAAATACTTTAATAATCCCAGAGGGAAATTCATTTTGTTACACGCTCCAGTTACAGTTTTATATAATATATACACACATCCAACTACACAATATAATAAAGATAAAAAAAATAAGAATAAAAAGATATAAAATATATACATAAATAGCTCTTCTGTATATATATATATATATATACCTCAGATGAAGCGTGGCAGCAACTGCAGTGATGAAAATAACCCGGAATGGTCCGGTACTGCATGCTCAACTCTGACAAACTCTCCTCTTCCAGTTTTGCTTGTGCAGAAATGTATCTTTGCACGCACATAGCTCAGAGTCTGCGGTTTATGCTCCACACTGATGGTTTGCTGTCAGCGGTATGGCTCTTCATGCTCTCGCTACTTAATAAACTATGTGGCTGATAATCCTCTGCAAAGCGTAAAAAATTCCTTTGTCTAACTATCAACATTTTATTTCTTCTTCTCACTATCAAGATTTTATTTTATTTCTTCCAGATCACAAAAGGTGATGTTAATAATTTTTTTATTTCTACCAATAATAATCAAATTGTTTTTTTTATTAGTTTTTCATATTAAAGCAACAAACACCCCATCCAGGGCTTACAAAACAAAACAAAACAAAACAAAACAAAAAGACTCCATAATTACATCACAACGACATCACAAACAAAAAAAAAAAAAAAAAAAAAAAAAAACTATCAACAAGACAATTACTACACCCGCACATATAACCCATCTTCAAGACATCCATGGGTTGGAAACCAAAAACATTAGTATGAATAACAATCATAATAATAATAATTCCGCAAAAAAAAAAAAAAAAAAAAGGGAAAATGCTTATTATGCTGAAGCAGATTGAACCTCGGATTCAAAATAGGAAATAAAAGGTTGCCAAATCTGGAAATATTTCTTAATGGTACCCTGTGACGTATATCGAAGATGTTCCAGCTTTAGGTGTGCCATTACCTCCTCTATCCATCGTTTATATGTCGGTGGTGCTGCCTTTACCCAATTAAATAAAATCAATCTCCTGGCCAACAGCGAAGAAAATGCCATTGCCTTCTGTTGAGCTGTCGTTAATTCTATCCCCCCCGGTGCCACACCAAAAATGGCCACCAGAGGGACCGGTTCAATATCTTTCCTGAAGACAGATGAGAAAGTTTTAAAGATTTCAATCCAGAATTCTTTGAGTTTGGGGCAGGACCAAAACATATGGGATGTGTTGGCTGGCACCTGTTTGCATCTCGGGCAAGTCGGATCGGCTCCCTGAAACATTCTTGCCAGTTTATCTCTGGTGAAATGAAGCCTATGTACCAATTTAAATTGTGTTAATCCATGTCTAACACACACTGATGAAGAATGAATGTATTCTACCACCCACCTCCATTCATTATTTGTGATGTTTAGCCCTAGTTCTTCTTCCCATTTTCTTTTTATATGGTCGAGGAATGGGGAAGTCATCCTTTGAATATTAGTGTAGAGCATAGAAATTGTCCCCTTCATAGTCGGATTCATATCTAATAATTCATCTATCCACTCACTCTGCTATGATTCTAAAGATGAAAGGAATGTCTTTTTTACAAAGTCTCGAATCTGAAAATATCTGAAGTAGTTGGTTTTTAAGGGGATTCCATATTCTTTTTCTAACTGAGCCGCAGACATAAGTATTCCATCCTTAAACAGATTTTTGACAGCTTTTACCCCAGCTCTATGCCATTCTTTAAATGCTGTTCCTCCTAAAGCTGGAGAGAATAGGTGATTATTGTAAACAGGAGCAGATAGGAGCGCATTTCTGTTTCTAAAATGGGATCTGAATTGGATCCAGATTTTTATAGAATTTCTTACCACAGGGTTATTTGTATAAAAGTGCTTACTTAAGGGCAGAGGTGCACACATCAGGAAATTCAGAGATATTGGGCTAGATGCATACCTTTCCATATGCACCCATATTGGAGTTTCCTCTTCATCTAGCTGTGAGACCCAAAACAACAATTTATGTAAATTTAGCTGCCCAGTAGTAATGCATATAATTTGGTAGAGCTAGGCCCTCCTCCTCTCTCTGTCTCTCCAAAAACTGTCTTCTAATCCGGGGGACTATTTTGTTCCATATAAAGCTGGATGTACATTTATTTAATTCTTTAAAAAAAGATTTTGGAATAAAAATTGGTATTGTCTGAAATAAAAACAGGAACCTTGGCATTATGATCATCTTTACAGAATTTATCTTACCTGCTAATGAAATTGGGAGGGTGGACCATCTTTCCATATCTGATTTAGCCTTATCTGCTGTTACTATAAAATTTTGCTTAAATAGATCTTTATATTTGCTTGTTACCGTAACACCTAGATATTGGAATTTGTCTTTCTTTGTTGTAAAAGGATAGGCCTGGAATGATAATTTCCTCGCCTGTTCATTAATTGGAAACAAAATGCTTTTGTCTAGATTAATTTTATAACCTGAAACCCCCCCAAAGTCTTCAACAATACCTAGAGCCACCGGAATGCTTGTGGCAGGATTTGACAGAAAAAGAAGCAGATCGTCAGCGTACAGCGAGAGTTTATGGTTTTGTATCCCTCTGTGTATTCCGCCAAGCTCAGCAGCATTTCTCAGCTTTATTGCCAGGGGCTCGATTGCCAGATAAAAGAGCAGGGGCGACAAAGGACACCCTTGTCTTGTTCCGCGAAACAGAGGGAATGGGTCAGATATTATACTATTCGTTCTTACCATAGCTTGAGGATTTGCATATAGTAATTCAATCCATGTGCGAAATTTTGGACCAAATCCAAATCTCTCCAGGATCATAAATAAATAAGGATACTCTATTCTGTCAAAAGCTTTATGGGCATCCAAGGATATTACAATTTCGGGATCGATATTACCTTCCCCAGTGTATATCACGTTGAAGAGTCGACGGAGATTACTAGAAAGTTGTCCACCAGCAACAAATCCTGTCTGGTCGGGATGTATTATCTTACCTATAACAGGCTCAATCCTCGCTGCTAGTACTTTAGTCAATATCTTATAATCACATCCTAGTAGACTCACTGGGCGATATGATTCACATTTAAATGGATCTTTATTTTTCTTAAGAATGACTGAGATCATAGCCTGTGACATTGTTTGGGGTAAGGTTTTTTTTTTCGAGGACTTCCTGATATACTCGTACGAGCAGGGGTATCAATTTAGAGGCAAATGTTTTATAAAATTCACTCGGGAACCCATCCGGGCCTGGTGCCTTGCCTGTCTTCATGTTATTAATCACTTTCTCTATCTCTGTTGCAGTCAGGGGTCCCTCTAATCTCTCTTTATCTATCGTTTGTAAGGTTGGCATTTCCATATTTTCTAAAAACATTTTTACTTTCTCCTTATCATTTATTTCAGAGGTATAGAGATCCTTATAAAAAGACTTAAATTGGTTGTTGATACCTTTCTGATCGATAATCTTATTCCCCAGGTTATCCTCTATCTCCACTATCATACCAGCAGCTGCTGACTGTTTTAGCTGGTGGCTGAGGAGCTTCCCTGCACGATCCCCATATTCATAATAGTTCTGTCTCGCTCTAAGATATTGATCCTCCTCATGCTGGTTTGTTAAGATATCATATTCGGTTTGGAGTAAAATACGCTTCCTGTATAATTCTTCAGAAGGGGCCCTGGAATTCACCAGGTCAACTTCTTTTATTGCCTTTATTAATTCTGTGGTGCGTTTTATCTTCCTTTTCCTTTCTCCAGCACTATATGATATTATTTGTCCTCGAATATAGGCCTTCAAGGATTCCAACAGAACAACACTACTTATTCCGGGGGTATCATTAAACTCCATGAAAAAAGCTATTTGTGAATTTATAAATTCCGTAAAATTGTCATCAGCCAAGAGCCTGTTATTAAAGCGCCATCTTCTTTGAGGCGGCGTGTTCTCTGGAAAACGGAGTTTTAATATGACTGGGCTGTGATCCGATATTACTATACCAGAATATTCAATCCCTGTTACTACAGGGATCAGTTTCTTGTCCAGTAAAAAGTAATCAATCCTGGTATACGTTCGATGAGGTGAAGAATAAAATGAGTACTGCTTTGAGGTTGGATTATTGTATCTCCATGGATCGAATACACCATATACCTTACAAAAGGAGTTAATGCAGCGCGCTGATTTACTCAATGCACTGGGTGTTGGACTAGAACGGTCCAAAGTTGGATCTAGGACACAATTCAGATCTCCCCCCAGAATCAGATTATGAGTGTCTAAAATTGGTAATAATGAGAATAAGTCCATAAAAAATTGAACATTATCCCAGTTGGGAGCATATATGTTTACCAGAACTACTGGCATATTGTATAGTTTTCCAACCACAATAATATATCGTCCATGTTTATCTTTTATAGTGCCGGTTTCTACAAATTGTATGCTCCTATGTATAAGGATCGCCACTCCTCGGCTCTTGCTGTTAAAATTTGAGTGAAAGACCTGATTAAATCCCCCCCTACTTAACTTAAGGTGATCCTTGTTCATCAAATGTGTCTCCTGTAAATACACAACTTCTGCTCCATGGTCCTTCAGATGTGAAAATACCTTGCTCCGTTTAGCCGGCTTATTTATTGCCCTCACATTCCAGCTAATCAATTTTGTGTCCATTAAATTTGTCTCAATGTTTGGTACAATGCCAGAAAATTAAAGCCTTTGGCAGCAAAAAAAAAAAAAAAAAAAAAAAAAAAAGGGTCTGGAAAAGGGAGGCGGGTATCATACATACAAACACAATCAATACAAAACATAAAACATAAATAAACACAAACATGGAGCTCTTTAACGAGCTCTCCTGTGGCCAACCGGTCCACCAACTCCTGCACACCAAGCTAACCGTGTGCGGCTCCGTGCATTTCGCTCTTAGTCCAAAAACCAAAGTAATATCACTGAATTTAGCTACCATAAAGAGGTACACTGCCATAATAATAACCAGGGAATATAAAAATATGCGTAGGGAATACAGCGTGTCTTAGAAAGAAATGAGTATAAAAACCATTCCGAAAAAGGAAAAGCAGGGAAAAAAAAAAAACAAAAAAAAAAACAACTACCCATATGCAAACCTAGAATCTTTTTTTTTTCTTTCTTCCTCTTCTCCCCCCCTCCCCCCCTCTCTCTTCCTCCTTCTCCCTCTTCCCTCCCTCCCCCTCCCTCTCTCCCCCCTCAACCCCCCCCCCCCCCCCCCCCCCCCCTTTGTTTTCCCTTTTCTCTTTCCCTAGAGCCACAAACTTGTATAGGATTGATAATACATACTCTGTCTACGTCCATTTTAGCAGCATAAACCTGTGAATTATTTACTTAATCAGAATCAGATCAGTCCAAAGGTCTCACCCAGGGTTCAATTCCTTTTTGATGTAGTCCACAGCATCCTTTGGGGTGTTGGTATTTCTACCAAAAGGAATCCCTAAATTATATCCAAACCATATATTTTTATTGCATACTGTTTATTTTTGGATAAAGAGCCAGTTGAAAAGGTACTTAGATCTTTGAATATTTCTCTCTCATTGTTCTTGTTTCTATCTATTGAAATACAATGTTTCCTTGTATTGTCATTAAAACATTTTCTCTGTTTTCTTTAAATATTTCAACATTTTAGTTAATATATTCATTCAATTTAGGTCTGCTTGTCATGTACTTACAAGGCAGTTATGTAGGTTCTCTCTGTATTGTTTTTATATCATAACCATGTGAATATAAATCTACTTTGAACCCTGAGCAGTGGTAACAAAGGGGGCAAAATTGTCTAAGAAGAAAAAACAATGTTTTTGTTCTTTGCTTTTTTGGAGCAATGGAGATTTTATTGATCTGTGTGTAATGCATAATAATTAATAGTAGATTAGGAAGTATTTGCTTTTGAATTGAAACATTATATGTCTAAAACCATTCCTTTATTGTACATTTTGTCAGCTTGTCTGTCTGCTATATTAACCAATATGATGTGTTGAACTAGATCTGCTATTTTCACAGCTTTTGTGACACACTTTTTGTAAAAAGTAGGGCATTAATTCATAAAAAAGTTTATTTGAATTCTTAAATTAAATTTTTCTTCCCAACAGCTATGATGAAATGCATGACAGCATTGTATCTCCAGTAATAATAGTATCTAGGCAAGAGCTGTCAGTCTGGTAAATATACATATATCATCTTTTATAACTCGAGAACAAGCTTTTATCATAATTATCCAAAATACAGACAAAACAAGTTAACATTTGTGTTATATGGGTTACAAATACTTTTGAAAAGTACTTTTGAAACCTACATATTTTGTAAAGGGCAGTCCCCCATTGAGAGCAAAGTGAATATTAAACCATTCTTTTTTTGTTTGTTTCTTTTCTAAAAAAACACAAATAAAATACAAATCGAGGTAATATAATGTAACAACAGTGTCCCAAACAACAATTTAAAAACACGTCCATTGGATGAATCGGCTTCTCAAGAGAAGAAAATGTGATTTATTAATACAGAACTTAGTTTTCCAAAACCCCAGTTGTTTAGGTAAACATGTTGCAACTCACCGTACTGAGTGACAAAAGCAATGCAGCTGTCAACTATAATAGGGACGCCATTTTTGGTCAGTTGCTGGCCACCAAGTGCCCTTCCATCTGTGCCTGCAGCCATCGTGATTGTTGAGTGCCACAGAGCAAAGTCCATCCTGTTGAAGCCGTGGATGTAAAGCGTTCTGTTGGAAAGATGTTATGAGCTGAAAGCATGACTAAACATCACCTAATGCTTACATGTTGGGAAAAAGCACTTGTGAATCATTTAAAAAAAACAACCGACAAGATGAAAAGAATCCAAACACGCTTCTACTAAGCATACATCTATAAACAAAAGCAGGCTTCCCATGAGGTTTGATCAAAAACACACAAACAAATAGCAATTAGCTCCGTCGTGGTGAAGTCTCGTTGCATTATTCTAAAAAGGAGTGAGAATTTTTTGCTGCAGATTGTTGCTATCTTAATCCCCTTCTACTTATCTCAGGCATGTCTTTAAGTACCACAGATGGCTACAGTTCATCAAGTGCATTAGGGATAACTAGACAAATAGTCAAAGCTAACAATGTTCATCTGTGCATATACTGCACTGTTGCTATAGAAATAAATATAACACCAATTTCCCATTTCTTTTTAAAAACAAAAAGTCCTACCTTCCACTTTCCACCAGCAGAAGTACTTGGATCCTGTCCTCACCCTCAGTATGTGTAGAGACAGCTGCAGAGAAAAAGGGTAGCAAAGAAAATGTTTTGACCCTTTTTTGACTTGGCATTAAAAGTTGTATGATTTATCTGTTAGATAAACTTGATGGAATAGCTTTGGATTCATGTATACTTTTTTTTTGAAAATGTACAATAAATACTCATCTGAGGTAAAGTTGACAACAATCAAATATCTAAATTTTTCACACAGCTGTTTTTTTTACTTTAAAGTTGTAAAAGTTCTTAGGTATTTTATCAAATATATTACAGATATAGATGTCACACCAATACAATGGAAATAAGATAACATCCTTAAAAAGTTTATGTTTATACTAAACTAATATAAAAACGTAACGGAAAAGCATTGTATTTAATGCACAGAAATGAAAGTCAAATAATCTGGGATTCAAACTGAAATAAAAACGCAGGGAGAAATAAAAAAAGAAGACACACATTTATTACCATGGTAATATATCTAATATCCTTTATTATAACACCACAAACAGGCTTAATTTAGAAGGCAACCAGACTTTCGCTTCGTTTTTTTGAAGACTTTTCAACATCTATCCAGGAGTCTTTGTCAATTCAGTTGACTCATAGCAAAGCAAAATCTAGTTGGAGCGCTCAAGTATTTAAGTAGCATGGGGGACTAATTACCTGCACACATTCCAAATTAGATGCTAATCAATTAGCCCCTCTTTGTTCTTCTGGATTATTGTAGCTCTTAGGTTTGCATGGACTCTGTGACTGGTCTTAAGAATCATAATGGGAGGGCTTACTGTACTGTATGTAACTTCTTGGGAATGGGTTCCTTTATTTGTAAATGCGTGGAAGCTGAAACCGCAATCCTTCCCCTCGGTTCAGTGATGATTTTTCTCTTTTCACAAAGATGGCTTCCTTAATGCCTCTTTCCACTGATCTCTATTTATTCACTGGATTGCTAACGGCCGAAAAAAGCGAATCCACCAGCTGCCATATTGGTACTCCCTCCTCCCACAGAGATTCACAGTAAATATACCTACGTGTTTAGCATTTGACTGCAACAACAATCAGTTTGTCGACCGTGGGAAGATGTTTCACAGGTAATTTCACAGTCAGTTGATGTACTAACCAAGAAACCCATATATATGACGATGTATCGCATAGTATAGTATGTAGTGTAACATTAATCAGGATATCCTGGACTGATTAGAAGATATTGACTGAGTTAGCCATTGACATTGTGTCTAACATTAGATAATAGAAAGTAGAGTAAATAGAAAGTAATTGACTTGTACACTTTTGTTGTGTTTGTTGTATTTCTCATTTGAAAAAGTCGTGCTGAAACTAAAACATTTTTAAAGGCTAAAGCACAGACACAGCATAAAAGCATATGCCATTATTCATGCAAAATTTGCAAATAGGTAATTACTATAGCATTACCAGACATGCACTTGTAATTGAGTCTTGATGTAAAATCTTGAAAATCATATGTAATATGTGATTACCACAACAATGTCATCAATACATGTCTAATAGACACACATCATCAATTTAGGACTTTTGGCACATCAGAATCATTATGCTCCATTAGCAAATTAATTTTGTTGTGATGGATTTGTATAATATGGTATGTTATATGATTTATAGACTTCATTCTGACTATGCAATGTGCCTATCTTTTATTATAAGTTAAACCAATCTATTTATGCTATGAAACACCAAGTGTGTGTCGAAGTGATGAATTTATTTTTATTCTAAAAGTCTTAAGCCCCCCTGAAAATGAGAACATCGTCATTGTTTGATGCTGTAGCACTCATATTGTTTACATTGCAACAGGTCTAACTAGGGAGTACCAATATGGCGACCAGTGGCTTCACTTCAACCCTGTACTACCAACGGGCAATCAGCAATCCAGTGAATAAATAGAGATCAGTGCCTCTTTCAAACCTTCTGTCTGTTTGTGGTTGCCATGACCTGAATGACTGAGGATTTTCACGACATGTTTATTATAACACACTGGAAAGATATTGAAACACAAATAACCATTTTATTCTTGCATTATAGTAGAAATACTAATATGATTTCAATATGCAAGAGCCCAACCATCCACCATGTAATGAATGTTTGAATTGTTCTGTAGAATGAAGCACCGGCCATGTTTGAATAATGACCGCAAAGCGATTACAACAACCCCCCACCAACATATTTACAATTACCTCCCTCTGACCATGCAACTGCACTTAGGATCACTGGCAAAGATAGAAATAAGCCTTGTCAGAAGATCAGTATGTCTAACTTACACCCAAACACTTTCAATGACCAGCTGTATCTCCACCTTTATTCAGACCTGCAAAAAACCTCTGAAGCCGTATAAGATTCCCAGCTTATAGGGCTTCACTAACAATCCACTCCCCAAGAAATACACCGTGACATGGTTAAATGACCGAAGACATCTATGGTCAGGTAATCCCTTATAGCAACTGGTATCAAAGCATCCTTCACCTGCAGTTTGCTTTGTGGGTACACTCGCTGTTGAATAATGCAATCAACCTGGGCTTACACCCTTTCCATCCCTTTCCACCTAAACCACCTAGGGATTAATGCCAGGATCCTGTTTGTGGTGTTCAGCTCAAAATTCAATACTATCAACCCAAACATCCTCCACCAGAAATGGACCAACATTGTTGTGTTTGCCTTTTACCCATCAGTGGATCACCAACTCTCCAACTGACAAGAACTAGAGATAAGGTTGAGGAAGATCTTTTTTTATCTTGAGAACAATTAGCACCAACAGCCCCCATGGGTATGTCGTCTTCCCATTCTTCTCCCTTTACACAAATGACTACACCTCAGTTGACTTGTCTCTGTAATCCCTGAAGTGTGCATATGACATTGCTGTCATTGGTTTGATCTAGGATGATGAGGCTGCATACAGACAGAAGGGTACATCGGGCAGTCCACTAATAAGGTCAGAATTGCATGGTGGTAAACCAGCTTAAACCATTGAGATAATGGAGTTCTTGAAAACTTTCCCCACCCAGCCTCCCCTCATCATCCTCAACAACTCTACTGGGGATTACCTATAGGGACAATCTTTTCTTGGGACCTGAGCTGGTTCTCACGCATAGATACTCTTCAGTAGAAAGCCCAGAAGAGAATGTATTTCTTGTGTTTGCTGAAGCAGTTAAACCTTCTACGGGAGCTTCTGTTAAATACCTTTAATCTACAATGGCATTATTTAGTCTGAACTTCTCTCAATCAAGGCGTTGGATAGTTATAGAATAAAAAAGGAACCACTAACATTTCCACAGACCCCTTGTATCCTAGACACAAGCTGTTTAGGCTTTTATTCCTTAGGTGTCCACTAAAATAAGCCACCACAGAGACTGTTTCTTTAAAAGGCTGTCACTGATGAGTACACAGAACACCCTTTTAGTCTGAGTACATGTTTGCAAGATCACAGCCTTCTTTTTTTTATTATTAAAAGAAAAAAAAATCCTTGTTTTTATTTCCTCTAAAGTTGATATCATCATACCTAATGCTTGAACGCTGTGAGCATTCAGCAGTCAAATTCTTGGGTTAAGCACACATTCATGCCCAACACAGCGGATTCTGAAATGTGAACTGTAGGTCCAGAAGACTGTTGGAATAATACATATGCAATATGCCAGAAGTCTTATCATTTCATAATCTTATAGCCTTGTTTATATGAAAATACATATCTAAACAGACATACTGGAATAGCTTTGAGAGAGTCGAAAAGAACAAAAACTGAAATCCTATTTTTACTTGAGCAGTTATTTTCATGTCAACAATTTGAAAATAGTAGATCAAATATAAATTTCCAGCCAAATCTGGATCCATAGAAAAAGGCTGTAGACTTGTTCTATGTATATCCAAGAAAATATCTCGAGGGTTGTACACTAAAATAAAAAAATCTATTTTAGGTGTGATAAATACATGCTCCCAACTCTAATGGTACTGTTACAAGGTAAGCAATAATATACTTTTGCACTAGCAAACAGGAATTTTAATATCTGTGGTCCCTGTCTGACGCTTAAGCTTGTTAAAACTGAATAAAACAAAGGGAAATGTAAGAGAAACAAAGGCTGATAAATGCAGAGTAAAATGTTAAGTGCATTCTATTGGATTTAAAGATTTCCTTTTTCTAACGGGACATATGAATTCTTCCTTTCTGCCACCTTCATCCTTTGCAGATTTTAACGAGTGGGAATCGGGGCACAAAGAGAGTGTTATTTTCAATTTTCACAATAAAAACATACAAATGCAAATAGATTGCTTTGTTGGTGATATTCAACTCATCAGTAAATAGAGAAAGTTAATGGCATTCTTCATCTACACAATCAGTCTTTTGAAATCGGAATAAGGGAGCATGATACAGAGGAACGGTGCTGAGGGACTCTAAAGCACAGCCGTAATCTCTTCGGGGGCTTCAAACAGCTGCTTGGATCACGGCAACAATCGCACACCTCAGAGAGAAAACAGAAAAAAAGGGAGACGAGGCTCTGCTCAAATCTCCTAGCAACAACATCTGGCACTTTCATCACTCTCAAGCACTGATTGTGCTCCAGTAATGGATAGAAAGATGAAAAACACAGAGAAAACGACACAGGACTTCATCTCAGCAAACCGCCAATTTCATGAGACTGATTACTGGCTTAATAACTACCTTTAACCTGTATTTAAATCAATTCAAAGATACGTTAACAAAATGCTTAATTACCTATACAGATTAAGCATTTGCATGTATGGGGAGGGGGGTGCTCTTTATCTTGGCTAAAAAAGTAATATGCAGCACATTATAAAAAAATACACAAACTAGCTATATTTTGATTTAACAGTAGGGAAGGCGATTGTCTCAAGTTGATTGACAAGTCTTTAGTATATGCCAGTTGATGTTGATCCAGAAAGAAAAAAAAAACAATCACACAAAGTCTGTCTTCTTACTTGTTTTTATATTTTTTTCTGGCACATTTTCAATGGCACTATGTTTTATTTTGATCCAAGTAAAGAGAAAAGAAAGCCAAAAATTTAAGGGATTGACTTGAGAGAAGTTTATTAGCAGCGTTATCAGGTAAAATGGAAAACACTTGTCATAGCTGTTTGAACAGACACGCAGCAATCCTAATTCATCCAACAAGAAGCTCAACTGAAATGTGTTTGTTTCTTAATCTGTTTGTGTGATAAGTCTGCAGCCTTGTTCTCACCAAAGAATATATTTTATGCATGTTCTTATGACCAAATTATAAATGTTCAAAGCTGTTTTTTCCCTTTACCCTAAAGTTTTTTTTTTTTTTTTTTTTTTTTTTACTCTAGGAACAAATGATTCTGACAAGCAGATGTTTTTTATACCCTAAATGGATAAAAAAAACAAAACATAGTTTAGTTTTTTTTTAACATTTTTTGGTTGTTGTTTTTGATCCTGTTATTTTAATTTCTCTTGTTAACATAGTTATTATGAATAGAAAAAATCTCACCAATGATTTTTGGAACAACACTCAATTGTTTGTCTCCTGGAGGGTTTTTTTTTTTCACTTCCACAAAACAAACATTTATCATATATTCATTTTCTCTATGCAAATCCACAACAATTGTCAGGATTTTTTTTGTCTTCTTCATCTACCAAATAGTTTATTACCATTTGAGGAAAATGAAACCTTCCCAGTTGGTAAATCTTTACCTGTTATTTTTTTCATTCACTGAGGTAGGTCAAAAAAACCAAAACGCCCGCCCTATCCACTAGATCCCTCAATCACTGTATAGAGTGGGGACTATTTACTGGACTTTATAGAGAACTCAGTTAACTGACAGTTCTGAAACGTGATCAGTATTTTTTGCCTCTCGCTGGTCACATAACTCCGCCTCCACTGCGCAGTGCCTGAGCCATCTTTGTTATTACTCAGCCTATGGCCATAATGCTTTGTGAGAAGAGCTCTCCGCACAATGCATTCTGGGATATATCTGCTCATCTATTGACCATGGATGATCGCTACTTTTAAGGTGCATTGTGGGAAATTTGGAGCCAACTACTTTTTCACCCACTATATATAGTGCCCTATATAGTGATTAGGGTGGACGTTCAGATACCACCATGGACTGATAGCACCAGTAATCATGGAAGTAGAGAGGAGCAGGATAGCTCATCTATGATAAGTGAAAGGAATAAAGGTACCATGACATTCTTCTTTTGGAATGTTGTTTCTCACCAAGTATAGCAGGGTTTATTTCTTGTTAATTATTCTTCTTTTGTCTGATAAAAAAATATCAGATTCTCCCTAAATAGCTAAAGTGATAGTCAAAATCATTCTGAATATTGTGTTCTATTAGGGTTTCACCTGGTTACTCCTATGCATCAATCTATGTACTCTTGGAGTAACTGTAACTTTTAAAAGACTGATGGATGTCAAAGTCTTTTAGCCTTTTAGCCAAATTCAAAGTGTAAGACAGGGTTTCTTTTAAGTTATTTTGTGATTTTACAAGTCAGGTTGGAATTGGTATTGGGTGTGGATGTTGAAATTAATCTAAACTTTCTAAAATTATAAATGAAACAATTAAACAGGGTAAAGCTGGAGAGGTTTTATTTAGGAGGGTTACTCTTTCAACTAGGGGCAAGATGGTTTTGATGAATTGGTAACACTTTACAACAATTTATAAATGGATAAGTATCAATTTATATGATAATCAGTTAAAAAATGCATGTAAACCATTTATGGAAAGAAAAATAGACAATATTGCCCTGCAATGTTAGTTTAGTTCTAACCCCTAACATCAGTCAACTTAAGACTTGAACCAAGCCTTTATTTTTAATTGAGCTTTCCCTGTCAAGTTGGACTTAGGCTTACCCTGGCTTTATATCTTAATAAATTATCCATCGACTTGTTATAAATGGTTTGGTTGTAATTTATAAATGAAATTTACCATTGCCAAACTACTTCTTAATCTATAATAAATAGTCTCTTTACATTTACAAATGATAGTGAGGATTTATTATTACAAATAAAGTGTAACCAGTTACTTTTTTACTTATACATGAATAAGAATTTGCCTAAAACTTTTAGTATTTACATAGTTTATTTATATCGTGTAAAACTTTATTTAAAGAACTAAAATGTAATTAAAAATCTAAACCATAAATAATATGTATGGAAGATTACATATACTAAGTGTAAATTTGTTTACATTCCTCTGAACATAATAAATTGACTCAGAAATATATAATCCTATACATAATTAATTCATGATATCTGATATAGCTGGATGCCACATAATGATCAGAGCATGTATAACCAGTAAACCAGTGATGGATGCTGTAGTGGAGCATGTAAGAAACACTCAGTGACTTTAATTGAAAACTGGGTTTATTTAATCCCTCAGTGCTACACAGGGGCACCTTTTATGTGGTGGTGTCACTATAGAGAACATAACAGCTAATCCCATGTCATAGACCATGAATCCTGAAGCTATATTTTTTCAGCGCTACAAAAACCAACATACTCGTGACAAACCACAGTCCCCTTCTGGCTCCAAGGGCTCTCCGGCTGTGAAAAATATGGTTTGTGAAAGCCAGGAATAAAAATGAACACCGCTGCAGTTCTTTATCCCGCCCCAGGTGAGAAGATGGGGCGGCACTTTGCGTGATTTGATCCATGCTGAGCTGTAAGTAGATTAAAAAGATCTATTGATTCTCCCCTCCTTCTGTTCGCGCTTCACGCTGGTGCAATCAATTGAAATGTTCCAAAATCTTCATCATCTGCCAAAAGCTTGTGTGAACTTTAGAGCCTTCCATGGTGAAGAGTAGACATAACTCATGTTCAGTAGATTTTTGAACAAACTACACAGATGAAACCAGTTCAAGTCAACACAGATCTATCCAAAAAGGAGAAAGCTTAAAAAAATGTATTCCTCACAGGTGCAATGCTTAATATTTACCTTTACTTACCTCCTTTTTTGAAAACCAGATTTGCTGATATACAAATCAGCATTTGACACTTCTTCACTTTCATCTCTTTGCTAAAAATCAACATTATTCCTTTACAGTTACGTTTTTTTAATGTGGGACGGAGAAATCCCATATAGGGCAGCTTATAGAAATTGTATCCAAAATGTTTTTTTTTTTCCCAATTCAAAATAAATAAAAGGGCTTCTATCTGTACGTTGATCTCCAAGTTGTCTTGATAACTATCAGTCAAGCAAACCACAGATCTTGTGTGTTTGAAAGACCACTAAGAAAAAAGTCACTGTTAGAAGAAACCCTCAAAAGTCCCTCGATCGAAACTTGGGGGGAAAACTTGCAGCACACTTCACTCTAAATACCAAATCAACACTAAAAAACATGGTTGGAGGCAATCTCATAAAGCTTTATTAAGCTAGACTGTGGCATGAAGTCATTTTTAAGCAAGAAAAACAGACCACACAGAACTAAAACGGAATTCAGATCGAGGCACATTGTGGCATCTTTATGCATTTAAAGTGCACCCGAACCCCCTACTGGCTTTAACGTGTATTCATGTCTGACATCAATGGTCGATATACTATACGCAAACATTTAATCTGCTTCCTGGTCAATTTTGAGCAGTTAAAATGCTGCTTAAGCATATTATATAATATGGCTGATTCTTTTCATAATTCCTTTAAACAGAACACAGCTCAATGTTCTACAGCATTTAGTACCAAATTTATTTATTTTGCACTGCACTGAATCTTTCCATATCAATGCCTTTTACAATAGAAACCTTATATGTCTAAAACCATTTCTTTATTGTACATTTGGGTGGCTTGTCTGTCTGCTATATTAACTAATATGATGTGTTGAACTAGACATGCTACTTTCACAGCTTTTGTGACGCACTTTTTCATAGATTAAGGCATTAATTTATAAAAAAGTTTATTTGAATTCTACAAATCAATGTTTTCGGCCCAACAGTAATGATGAACTGCACGGCAGCATTCTATAACCAGCAGTTGTAGTATCTAGGCAAGACCTGTCAGTCTGGTAAAAAAGGTAGTTCTTCTTCTAAATTGTAAAGGCTACCTTTTCTTTGCAACATACAACTGACTAAAACTAGACTAAATCCTTTTAAATTTTTAGTGAACAAAAACGTACTAAAACTATCACATATCTTAATGACTAAAATGTGACTAAAACTAAGAATAGTTAAAACAACACTGCATCCCAAATAAGAACGCTGCTGAAGTTCTGTGTCTGGTTACGGTGGAGCTCAAATGTTGAGTTTTTGACCAAGGATCACGTTTTGTTGTTTTGTGGCGTTACTACTACGATATTCAATCGCTAAAAAGAAAAGACACTTAATGGTAAAACCCCAGCTCTAAAAAAATAAAACAGAAAACAGTAAGATGCTTACTAAGCTCTTGCAGTTGTTTGAGACGAAGGACTTCCTCATCTGCCTCCTCTTCTCCAGAGCTGAAGTGCAGTGTGGAGCCCTCTAGCATGAACCAGCCCATCCTCCAGTGATAGAGGTCGTGACCTTCTTTGTATTGGAGTCTTCCAATTAGTTCACTGTCTTTCCGCACCAATCCCTCAACCTTGGATGGAACAATGCACTGTGGAGAACAAGTGTTGATGAAAACAGAGACAAAAAACAAACAAACTACACTTTCTAATAAGCTGTAAAGTAATTGCAAACGTATAAAATGTATTAATTTCTGATAGCAAAAGTATTTGTGCTGTGTTCTCTGACTTTAAACGGACACTTTAACGTATTCTGCAGTGAGAGGCATATATAGCTATAGTGCAACACGTCTCTCTACAAGGGACTAAGTTGTCTAAGACTGGAAAGAGAAAAGAAAGGCAATAAGGTGCATGTTTATACAGGGGCTTATTAAAAGATTCCTTCAGCATGCGGGGGAAGATGGCAAAATTACTTGTCTTACTGAAAGAGGCATTGCTATGTGAATAAAAAAAAGGCAAATTCACATAACTTATTGGCTTAAACTTTAGGTGGAAAACAAACTTATAGGAAAAGGATGGAAATATGTGCTTTGTGTGTGGGTGTGCTCTGCTCAAACGGTGTCACCTTTGTCAGCGCCAGGATCCAGTCGTGCTGTGTATCCTGCGTCTCGGCTCCAACAGTCAAGGCTCGCTCTGTTCGCAGGTATAGCTCAATGGTAAACACAGCCCTGCTGGAGTCACAGAGGTCAACTTTCAGAGGCTTTGGGTGTAAAAATGTGTTCATATACAGCAACACCTATCGACTATCCTAACATTAATTAACTAACATTGAATACTGAACAAAGATAGATGCCCTGCATTTTATTTGGTATTGTTTTAGAGCATTTTTGCTGCAGAATTTTTAGAATTTGCTTGTTAATCGGCAAAGAGAGGGATAAAAAATGGGGGATATTCTTTTTAATTTGCTGGTAGTCTGCAAAAGCTTCAGAAGCAGGGAATCTGTTGTGCTAAAGACTAAGGCATATACTGGTAAAAAATTTAAATAAAAAAAGTGAGGGATTATGACAGATTATGACCTTACACAAAAATGGACTTCCACCTAAAATGACTGATTGAGCAAATATTTATCATGGAAGTAACACAGAAAGCTTTAAGAAAAATGGAGCTGATAAAAGGTCTTAAGACCTGAAGCAGTTGCATTAAGCTGTGTTAACACTGTTCTTCAACACAGAAAAAGGGGGAAAAAACTGTTGAAGGACGCAAAAGAGACCTAAGAGTTGTGGGGAGGGGGTGATAACACTAAAGGCTGAATTATACTTCGAAACTAGGTCGTCTGCGTAGGTGTTACAGTGAACAAAAAGACTTTACCGCCCCCTCCACATACACTCTGCTGTAACATTCCCAAATTGTAACTGACCGCAGACAGGCCGGCTTGTATTGTTTTTATAACCTAAATTCCAGAAAACGACTCGTGAAGTTGGACCAGCTAGAACGAACGGGGTGCGCTAGAAGAGGTGCGCGAGAATCCTGGGGCTTTTTTTCCACCTGGATCCCCGTTCTTTTTAGCCCTCATGTCCCTCCATTGTGGCACAAACTCGCCCCCACTTCATCACCACCTCGGCCGTATCTAGACCCACAGCTAGTTCCTGATTCTCCTGAGCATAAAAATGTCTGCGTCAAGAATAACCAGCCCTTTAATCTACCAGAAAAGAGAAACAAATAAAAAAAACATGTGTGAATATGCTGATGAAGGTTCTCAGTCATCCAGGTCAAAGTCATTCCGTAAAAATTCAAAAAATATCCACTGGACTTGGTTTTCAAGATTTGTGTGAATATAAAGCCAGAGCTGCAAAAAAAATAATAAGGGTTGGTCTGCCAAGACTGTCCTACGTTTGGTTACATATCTGCAAAGATCCTCAATCATGGTGAAGCTTGAAATAAAATAATAATAATAGTATTTTATTTATTACACAATTATGCACTACGTAATGCTGGCTATTCGCAGACAGTGTGAGACAAACACATATAAATTCAAGAGGATTAATATTTTTCAAAGAATCTCTATATTCCTTGAGAAAAAAAAGAAAAGTCAAAGCTAGAAAAGGGATTTTAAATCTTAAAACTGTTTAAAGTTAGTCAATGTTTACTTTTGTAAAAAGTTAATCCATCAGCATGAACATGTCTAGGAAGATTCAATCATGTATTTTCAAAATCTATTTAAAAGGAAATAAAAGAAAGAAAAAAAAAACACTCAAAGCTGTTGAGCCACAGTCCCCAAAAAGAAATAGCCACCATTATTTGGTCTTTTCACATTCTTGTGTGTTGCCTCCACTCTAAAATACCTCTGCTTCTGTTTATCAAGGAAAGTGTCACAGGTCAGAGTATCACTAACTTTAATGGCCAACAAACAGGATTCCAAGCGGTCTTTACATTTCAGCTGCGGCGCCTCTAAATGTTGCAGCGATGGGAGTTCAAGGCGACGTTTCGCATGGGGTCAAGGCAACAACGAGTCACTTTCTTCTCACAGGTGTCAGGGGAATAGGCACAACATGGGTGTTTGCCCTCACATGCCCCCCCTCCCCACCAACACTACCTTCTTCTCGTTTCCAGCTCCCCACGCCTCCTCCTGCCTCTGAACTGGCAGGTGTGCAGGCGCTTGTTAGTGGAGGTCCCACAGGGAGAGAAAGGATGAGTACATTGTTGTGCTTGGCAAATGCTATGGTAAAGAAAGAACACGAAGAATGAGAGATGAACACTAAATAATGTAAGTCCCAGGGGATGGTATTGGATGGGGAATATGTGCAAGGGAAGGGGGAGAGAGAATAAGCTGAAGAGCAGAGGAATGTGAGCAGGGAGCCAAAGTCAGTCAATGCCGCTTTCATGTGTCTGCCTGCTTTTCGAAATAAAGTTTTTTCTTAGTACTGAGCTAAGTGGCTCTAATTGTGTATATTTCATTCAATCATATTTGACTTTAAACCATCAAACCAAATGTTAAAATCAGAACTTCTGTCTGTCCTTAAATTACATCTCAATTATACGTTTGACATGGTAACTAAGTTGTAGAAGCATTTTTAAATGAACTGTTTTTTTGAAACAAAATGCTGCTAACCTGCAAAAAAGAAAAAAGAAAAAAAAAGAAGCAGTACCTTGAATAGTGATGATCTAATTTAGGCATGATATCAAGACGTCTCTTTGACACAAAAAAGTAATGATCCTTAATGATCTTAAGTACTGCATTGGTGTCCCATTCAAGGCAATTATAAAAGGTATGTGAAATCCAGAAAAAAACTCAGTTCCCACTGTCCAAAATTGTCAGATTTCAACAGCCTCACCTTCAGATACCTACTTAATACCCTCTGCAATAACCTGTTTACATTATACATATATATATATATATATATATATATATATATACATACATACATACATACATACATACATACATACATACATACATACATACATACATACATACATACATACATACATACATACATACATACATACATACATACATACATACATACATACATACATACATACATACATACATACATACATACATACATACATACATACATACATACATACATACATACATACATACATACATACATACATACATACATACATACATACATACATACATACATACATACATACATACATACATACATACATACATACATACATACATACATACATACATACATACATACATACATACATACATACATACATACATACATACATACATACATACATACATACATACATACATACATACATACATACATACATACATACATACATACATACATACATACATACATACATACATACATACATACATACATACATACATACATACATACATACATACATACATACATACATACATACATACATACATACATACATACATACATACATACATACATACATACATACATACATACATACATACATACATACATACATACATACATACATACATACATACATACATACATACATACATACATACATACATACATACATACATACATACATACATACATACATACATACATACATACATACATACATACATACATACATACATACATACATACATACATATATATATATATATATATATTAGGGGTGGAATGGTTCACAAAATCCACGGTTCGGTTCGATTCACGGTTTCGTGGTCAAGGTTTTTGGTTCGGTTCGATATATGTTGATTGTTACACCGAAATCCCATAAAAATTTATGAAATTAATGAAAAAATCCCCCCAAAAATAATGGATTGTAATTATTTTAAATGCTCCGCGGAAACCCTGGATCATTTCCGTATGTTTTGCTGCTTTGAATTAAATTATCTCGCGCATGATCTCTACCATCTCCAAGGGACTCAGAGGGGAGCGGACGAGAGCCACAGTGGGGGCTGTAGGCTTTGCTTCGTGCAGGCGGTCTGGAGCGCAGCGGGACGAAGCGGAGCGGACCGCTGATGGAGTATGTGGGATTTCGGGGTTAGCATGACATGTTGGTCGTGTTGCTGTTAGCATAAACAAAACGTGTTGCACAATGCTTGCACACTGTTGCACTTTTATCCACAACTTTCTTTCCGCAGTCATCGTAGGTCACTCTGAATGCAAAGCGCTCCCATACAGCAGACCTATAAAGTGCTGCTGGCGCGTCTTCCAACTCCTGTTCTTTCCCACTCGCCATACCCACACAATTCTCCACAACAACTGATTTTTTTCTGCTACACCCGGCTAAGCTGCTTCGCTTCTTCTTCTTGTTTACTACTGGTGGTTGGTTTTGGTCGCAGTACCGCCACCTTCTGCTCCGGAGTGTAAACGCTTCGACTATGAGAAAAAGGAGCAGCGCATGAACCGAACGAAACACACGCGAACCAAGACAGTTGAATCGAGCGGTTCGGACGGTTTGCAAAAACCGTTCCATCCCTAATATATATACACATTTGCATACATATATACAAACATACAGTATATATATGCTGTTTATATAGATATACATATATACACATACATACATTTTCCTCTTCTTTTTGACTACTGAGCCAATGTGACAAGTGAATTTCTCTACTGTCAGATCAATAAAGTCTAGCTTAGCTTAGATAGCAAGAGCATTTTGCAGTCTGTTTTTTACCACACAAAAGGTATAATTATGTGTACAGTTTGCAAAAATGCACATTAAAGATTGTACAAATGTTTTATCAACATGTTGAAATCCGGTTGCTAACAGATATGTGTATGTGAGAAGTAGGAAGAAAGCAGCTGAAATAATAACCATAAAATGTTTATAACCCTCAAAGCTGATTTAATTAAGTATAACAAAAAATATTTCTGTAATTTTTCAATCCAAACCACCTAAAATATCCTGCATTGAATGTCAAATAAACAAAATAATCATGATCAACCGTGATCATTTTGTCAATTTGAATCTATCTTGGATTGGTCTTTGCTCTGTTTTGTTTTGCAAGGCTCCCTATGCCCTTTGTCAAAATTCCATAAGACCAATTTTCTTCCACAAACTATAACACGAAGAGCCTGCAGAAATAATTATCTGTTGTTTTTGATTAAAGTCAGATTTTTAAGAAGATCTGGTTTCTTTATGATTACAAAATCTAAAGGCTGTGGAAGAGTCAGGAAACTGTGCACAAAACTGTAACTCCTCTCATAAAGTCCCTGTTTGTTCTCACTTTAGGAGTTAATGAAATGTGGTAATAGTCAGGGTGGTGAAGGAAATTGTAAACCGGAGGACCGACTGAGGGTGAAATGGTGCAAAAGGGAGAAAAAAAAAGCTTAAAGAAAGATAAACGAATAAAGAATAGATGGATTTGGGGCGTCTTTGAAAGTGCAAAATACTGCTAAAACAAGCAGCCCAGTAATTTTTTCCTCTAAAAAGTTACACTTATCATGAACCGACACACTCATTTTAGATTAATTTCCAAGGAGTGGCTCTGTAATATTCACGCAACTTTAGAAAAGGTAAGCCTCTCTTCTGTCTTTGTGTGCCTTGCCGTATCCTCGGCCATGGTGAAATTACCACAAAACGCAGTGTTTAATGGAAACGACTCCCGCGGTCTCCTGTAGCGTGCTGATAGGCTGCTGGTGGGAGTGTGTCATCTGCATAAATCAATATTTATAAGAACCAGCAGACAGTTGAGAGGTTGAGTCGCTCCTACTCCCTCCGAGTCACGCGGTGCCATGCGGGGGGAAAAGCTGGAAGTTTGCAAAAGTGAGAGTCTGCGAAACTGAGTTTAATATAGTGAAACCATTAAGAGTAATAGCCACAGAGAAATACCAGCCCTCCCCCTCCCCAACTCAGGATGACACTGTGACCTGAAACTAGGATATATGGGGGGAGCTGAGAAAGAGCAACAGAAACTTTGTTGTGAGCATGCAAGCACACAGCACCTTGTGTGTGGCGTCCAGCTCATTATACAGGTCGCTGTGTTACCGAGCCAGATGTGCATCTTATGGCTTCACAGATAGCTTTCACAAACAAACACATTGTTCACTCCTCTCAACATCTGCTGCTATCATTAAAGAGTTAGCTTCCGCTTTAATCATAAGCCATTATCAGAGTAGTTACTTCGATATGCAGCACACATGCACGCACAGACGCCAACATACACACACAGAGAGGGATCCAGTGATAGAGAGAGAGAAATGTTGGAGGCATCTGTTTCTCCTTCGCATTCGTGTCACCTCCAGATGAAATAAAGAGAAAGTTGGCTGTAGGAGCAGCTTTTTAACTAAATCATAATCCGACTGCAAAAGCGAGGGCGCTGATAGAGGGAGGCAGGGGCAGAGAAAAGCGGCAGTTAGCACTGCGCTGCTGTCGACTGCATCGCCAAATAAGCGGAGAAAATACAGCTCTCATAAAGCCCTGATGGTTGTGTTAAAGGGAGCAATCGGCGATTTGAGATCAAGTTAACAAGACACATGTGACAAGGAGGTGAACTGACACAGGAGTCTGTGGTTACAAGCATCTGTGTGTTTACTGGATGCCGGAGCAGGCTGGTATTGCATGTGCTGGAGCAAATAAATATCATTGCAAGGTCACGTCTCCTTTGCAGTTCATGTTACACAAAAAGATGTGCAAACAGCATTTAAACTGTAAATACAAATGCATATCACTAAATTAGATCATAATGAAAAAGTTAAATTAATCAAAAGTCCAAAAGTGAAACTAATCTATTATTAATAAAAAATCATAGGTTAACTTTTTACAGAAATGTTATGCTTTAGTGTCATTTTTTTTCTCAATAGGCTTAACTCCCTTTAGAAAGTGTGTAAGCAACACAAGGTCACTAGACAAGCAAACTGTCCATAGATTTTCTATAAAGGAAAAGTAAAATATAAAAAGCTCCAGCAGGAGCAATTATCTTATCTTAAAGAATTTTAAAATAAAAAGCCTTTTCAAGAGATTGAAAAGGTGTGCAACCTGGTGTGGGTTCACTTATTCAAGAGTCTCCATACAGGGATTTATCTTGGAGATTGGCTGCAAAGTCAAACTCTATTTCAAAGAATTTCAGAATAGGGCCAGCAATTAATTGCAATTCCAACATAATCGCCATTTAAGAAAGTGGAATTTTCAAAACGTGGAGGCGCTCAGTTTCAGTAAATAATATGACAAGACATGAGAGTAATTTTTTCTCACTCCTGCACTTAAAGTGCTGGTTATATGCTTAAAGTGGGGTTGCTTCAAGGAAAAATGGAAAAAAAACTTCCAGCTAGGATTTAGATCTATGCATGCTAGTAAAAGTAAGCCAAGGAATTTACCATCCTGCAAAAATGCACTTTGGACAAGCAAGCTTTCAAGGTTATGAAAACATCTACATGTTTGTAGTTAGTGCAAAGGAAAATAAAAATCAAATCGCAATAATGGTTGTAAATAATCACAATTTTGATTTTTGACTAAATCTTTCTAACCTGACAACAGCCAGATGCATGTCTCGCTCCGCCTAGCTCCACTCACATACATCTGGGAACACGCCATAGGAATTGCCTTTACTGAAGGCTGGGCCTTATCAAAACTCCTTGCATATGATTGGATAAACCACTTGTCTGTCATCTTTATTGACGTGCTATTTCAACCACTCACACCAAAGCTAACCCGTGACGCTGTGAGAGGAGGAGCCATTTGGTAGATCAAGCTCTTGCCAAATCCGGCCGGGAGAAGGGCGAAAACATCGTTTCCACCAACAAAAGCCTTCAAAGCCGTTCTCTGATGTTCTTTTAATGAAACAATATCAGATAGATTGGACAACACAGAAGAAATAGCAGCATCAATGCTAACGCTTGCTTCCTCAATGCGAGCCGCCATTGTTGTTGGAATCTCACGGTCGCTTCCCCACTCCAGGACACACCCGCCCTGCGTCGTGATTGGACAGACCATAAATTCGGTTGGGGAAATCACTTTCAATGAGCGGGTTCCCAGATGTATGTGAGTGGAGCTAGGCGGAGTGAGACATGCATCTGGCTGTTGTCAGGTTAAAATCTTTCAGCCCAGTGCTGATATTCATAAGGATTATCATAAAAATTACAGAAAAATATCAAAAACAATAGAATAATCAAAGGACTGCACAAAGAGCTAAAGTGAACTGTATGAACTAAATTTCATTTGCGCCCTTCACTGAACAAGCATGGTTTACCAGAATCAGTGGTTAAAACAACTATACAGTTACAGCTTCTGATGTGTCACCTCTATGCCAGAGTCTATATAAGAGGGCAAGATGGAAAACAGCACATATTAGGCTGAGGTCTGCCATGAGGTGGAAAGTGTTGGAACACGATTGTTTTGGTTTATAGTAAAATTAGTTTTAGACAAACAAGAGTTAGGGTGGTAAGTACACAGAGATGAGGAACAGCAGTAGGGGCATATATCAAATATGAACCCTTTGTGCTTTTTACATAATCATATTAAATGTTTTTTAGTTAGAAGCTCCATCTTTTTCGAGTTGTTTGCCTGTTCGTACCCCGCTCCAGTCATAGTTTCTGAGTTACTGACAGCCAAGCTGACCACTTCGGTGACATCTAATCTTCCGATGGCAGAGGGGCTCCGCTCCTTCTCATAATAACTCAGGAAGCCGCCCTCCAATGTACACCAGCGGCATGCCATTTCTGAAAAACAAACACACAGAATTTCAATTCTGGCATCTCAGTCTCTGCACTAGATGAGCAAAAAACTAATACTGAAAAGTTTTATAAAAAATAAATAAAAATCTGGTAAAGGTATAGTGGAGGATGTTTTTTTTACAGGTGCATCATCTAAAATAAGTGGTCCTCCTAATTGTCAATTATTCAGGTGATGTGTTTGTGCTTATGTAGAAAGTGACAATAAAAGCTGAACCTGAACAGGGTTGTGCGTGTGCATTTTTTTTTAAGGTGGAGAAGGAGGGTCTTCTCAAAAATGTGTGAAAATCCTCCACTATACCTTTAAAGTAAAAAAAATAAATAAATACAATTTTAATCAAATATACAAGCTTAGCATAAAGTAAAGTTATTGGTGCTACAATATTTTTTATTTATAGAATCTAAATCATTTATACCCTGACATTTATTTCTAAGTGCTCACTTATATTACATTATGCTCACTTTTAATCTACCATTATAAACACAAAGTCATTAAAAGCTTCGCTGATTCCCCTCCAAGGTCCTTATCTAGATAGCTTGGTAACCACCCAACAGGAAAATGTAATGGAAACAAACCCTTGTTAAATGTTTTCAGAATAACATATATTTTTTGTATAATAAACTTTATCTGAACCATGTGATTTTACATGCAAAAATTATGTTTCAGCTCTTTTCTTCTTTAGGTTGTTTTAAATGAGTGTCCTTTCTGCGGTCCGTCTGAAAATATGCTCCAAGTTGTTTATGGAATAAACACAACCAAAGACAATTTTTAGCCTTTTAATGAGTTTTTTTTTTTTTTTTTTTTTGCCAGCATTTTTTAAAAATGTTCTATTTATAGGCATTAATTGATGTCAGTTCCCTGGCTGTACAGTATATACCGCTAGCTTTATTTGATGGAGAGTTTTGTTTGTATTGATGTTCAGGTGGATCTAGTTATTTTGGAAATTGGTGTTTGGTTGGGTTGATGTTAACTAGTCTATTTTGTGTGTATTTGGTTGATTCATTTATTGTTGTTTATAAAAATTGTCCTTAATTGTCTGAAATAAATTATTTTTCATTCATTCATTCATTCATAGGAGTTTGCCAAAACAAAGAAACAAGCCAAAGGCCTTACTTTTAATTTTTTAAATCAATGAAGCAAAGGTGGCCGTTAAATTTTTCCTGCAGAGACAGACTGCAAGAAGGACCTCACGTTGATGTTGTCACTCTGTGGAAGTGCAATGTTAAAGCCAGTACAAGGGTAGAATTTCACTTCCAAGGAGCTATACAGAACATGAAGAATTTTATGCAGTTAGGTGCTTTTAACAAAATGTGATGTAGAATGTCAGATGATGGAGTACTACAATATTAAGATCTAAGGAGAAGCATTATCTCCTGGTCAAACTCCTGTAATTCAGTGAAAGGGATGCATGCCCAGGAAAAGGCCAGTGGCTGGAATTTGGAGGGTTGCAGGGAAGTGGGCTGCCATTCAGCTGGTTTGGCTATGAAGGGCCATTTTGAGTGGCTGCTACTGTACTAATGATGGCATCTTCTTTCCATCTAAAACTGACCCTTAAGTTCTTATGATTTGAGTAGATTTTTTATTTTTACAAAATACTGATGTCGAGACACTATTTTCCTGCATTGTGGTCAGAATAAAAATAACCTATGACCTCTGACTCTTTGCAAGTTGGCAATGGAATATGGAATATAACATTTACATCTATCAGATTCTGTTTTATCTCCCAGCGATGAATGGGCCCTAAAATGGTATTTAGAGATGATCAGAGATCCTTACAGTGTAATGACCCTGAGTAAAAACACCAGCCAAACACCAAATAGGAAAGCATAATCTGACGTTACTGCTTTTCTTTAAAGAGAAAAAAAAATTCTTCATAGTGGCTAAAATGATCACATATTAATAAATGCAGTTTCAAAAACTATTATTCTTTAAAACTGTACATATAGACAAAAGCATAAAGGCATAAATATAAAATACATCTATAAAATTTCTGAAAGCTGTTTATTGAGCTAAATATATTTTCTTGCCAATCTATTGATCAAGTAGAAACACAAGTTTGATAAACAGATATAAGCGGATTTATTAGCTTGGCTATCTACTGTAAAAATGTCCACAGCTGTACAGGTGCTGGTCATAAAATTAGAATATCATGAAAAAGTAGATTGATTTCAGTAATTCCATTTAAAAAGTGAAACTTGTATATTATATTCATACATTACATACAACTCATATATTTCAGATGTTTATTTTGTTTAATTTTGATGATTACAAATGACAACAAATGAAAATCTCAAATTCATCATATCAGAAAATCAGAATATTGTGAAAAGGTTCAAAATTGATGGCCCCTGGTGCCACACTCTAATCAGCTAATTAACTCAAACCACCTGCAAAAGCCTTTAAATGGTCTTTCAGTCTAGTTCTATAGGCTACACAATCATGGGGAAGACTGCTGACTTGACAGTTGTCCAAAAGACGACCATCGACACCTTGCACAAGGAGGGCAAGACACAAAAGGTCATCGCTAAAGAGGCTGGCTGTTCACAGAGCTCAGTGTCCAAGCACATTAATAGAGAGGCAAAGGGAAGGAAAAGATGTGGTCGAAAAAAGTGTACAAGCAAGAGAGATAACCGCACCCTGGAGAGGATTGTGAAACAAAACCCCTTCAAAAATGTGGGGGAGATTCACAAAGAGTGGACTGCAGCTGCAGTGAGTGCTTCAAGAACCACCACACACAGACGTATGAAAGACATGGGTTTCTGCTGTCGCATTCCTTGTGTCAAGCCACTCTTGAACCACAGACAGCGTCAGAAGCGTCTAAAGAGAAACAGGACTGGACTGCTGGTGAGTGGTCCAAACTCATGTTCTCTGATGAAAGTAAATTTTGCATTTCCTTTGGAAATCAAGGTCCCAGAGTCTGGAGGAAAAGAAGAGAGGCACTTCATCCACGTTGCTTGAAGTCCAGTGTAAAGTTTCCACAGTCAGTGATGGTTTGGGGTGCCATGTCATCTGCTGGTGTTGGTCCATTGTGTTTTCTGAGGTCCAGGGTCAACGCAGCCACATACCAGGAAGTTTTAGAGCACTTCATGCTTCCTGCAGCTGACCAACTTTTTGGAGATGCAGATTTCATTTTCCAACAGGACTTGGCACCTGCACACAGTGCCAAAGCTACCAGTACCTGGTTGAAGGACCATGGTATCCCTGTTCTTAATTGGCCAGCAAACTCTCCTGACCTTAACCCCATAGAAAATCTATGGGGTATTGTGAAGAAGAAGATGCAATACACCAGACCCAACAATTCAGAAGAGCTAAAAGCCACTATTAGAGCAACCTGGGCTATCATAACACCTGAGCAGTGCCACAGACTGATCGACTCCATGCCACGCCGCATTGCTGCAGTAATACAGGCCAAAGGAGGCCCAACTAAATACTGAGTGCTGTACATGCTCATACTTTTCATGTTCATACTTTTCAGTTGGCCAACATTTCTATAAATCCTTTGTTTTTATTGGTCTTCAGTAATATTCTAATTTTCTGATATGATGAATTTGAGATTTTCATTTGTTGTCATTTGTAATCATCAAAATTAAACAAAATAAACATCTGAAATATATGAGTTTGTATGTAATGTATGAATATAATATACAAGTTTCACTTTTTAAATGGAATTACTGAAATCAATCTACTTTTTCATGATATTCTAATTTTATGACCAGCACCTGTATATTGATTATTTAATTTCCAGAAGCAAAGAATTTATATTGTTAAAACACTGTACAGTACAGTATTTTATTTGTCTATTCTTTTTATTCTGTGACTTGTTCTGTTATTTTTATACACTTTTTAAGGTCCTCATTTGCGTGACAACTTTTGATAATATCTTTTGCTGCTGTAACACCACAATTGACCCACAGTGGGACAATAAAGGGATTTTTTTTCTATTTCTATTTCTGCATATGTAAATTAGATTTTGTCATCATTTATTTATATAATTATAAATATTCATATTTATTTATAAATTATAGCAACTTTTCTTGCACAACAGTTAGCAACAACTTGAAATACTTTGTTGAATCTCCGCAACAGCATGAGAACAGGGGCAATAGTTTAAGAAGACTGATCAGCAACAAATGCACCTTAACCACTAGACTCCAGAGAAGAGTAAGATGATGAAACTTTTGGTTAGTTAGACAAAAAGGGCAAAATTGGAGTCTGATAGATGATTGATTAATTGAGAGTAAATGTTAGGGAGTTTTGTAACGAGGAGGGATATTGGTAACAGCCAGATGCATGTCTCGCTCCGCCTAGCTCCACTCACATGTATGTGTATTGGATATTGGCACTTCCCTGGGAATAGTTTTCTTTTAGCTAAAATTGTCAGTTGGACTGCTCAAAATAACTTCAACACAATATTTCTTACCCAAGATGACATTGCAGTGGCAAAATGTAGAGTTTTTTTCTTTTCTCTCATGTATCTGCATACTACTAGTGTCATTTCAACTTATCACAAGAGGGTGCAAAGTTCTGCAACAAAGCATTTTTAATCTTGGTATATATAAGGTATATATATATGAGGGAGGTGCAGTGCTACATTACGCGGTACTCTGTTCAGCTGCTCAGTGAACTTACTTTGGCATCTCATGTAAAGAACTACAATCTATAGAAATTGTCTAGTATCCTACCTACTTTCACTCTATTAATTTGCAGATGTTTAGAATAGACATCTGTTTAAATGATTTAATTGAATTTACCTGATAAAGCATTAATTCACCCTTCAGTGGTCTATCCCATTAGCAACAAAACCTAAACCAGCTGAAAGTAAAGTAATCCGAAAAAACAACAATGCAAAATTCAAGATAAGACTGATTTAATGTTAAATAGTCCTGATTTATGGACAGCCCACTGAGGGCTGACACTTTCAAATCTGAAATTCTTTGAGTTATGATTCCAGACTTTGTGGTGTTTTAAACCATCTGTATGACTATAA